TTCTACTCCGTGAGATGATTAATGTGATATATTTATTTATTGAAAAACATTTAGAATTTAATGAAATATTTGATGTCAAAGTAACTTACTTGAAACTATAAATTAGTAAAGAATTTGATTTATTGAAAATTGCTACACACTTATCTCACATTGAAAAGTTAGGAAAATTTTGTGTGGTTTATACAGTAGAAGTTTGGAAATTAGATTTGAGACCTAAGGGACCAATAGTTCTTGAAATGGGGAGACCTATATCTTATTGGGTTTGATCCTAAATCTACACGCACAATGCCAATTGTCCGATGACATGAGCATGAGTCTGAGTAGAGTCCGATCCTGTCCAGTTTGTGTTTGAGTGCAGGTGGACCCTTATACTATATTATCTTTTTGGATTAAATTGACCAACTTGTAACTAATCAAATTCTTGGGTGCGTAATGAAACTATTTTTAAAAGGCATTTTTTATTTCTTACCATTGGCTTTTTCTGGGTATTTCCTGGTCTGGATCGACTGTTATCCGATTTAACAAACTTAACGGACGTAGTGTTTCATTCTGAACAGTATTGTCTATTCAGATTTAGAAGGTTGTCTGAATAGTGACAACTGTTTTGAAAAGACTTGAATGATGTTTGAATAGCCACAAACAAATCTATAAATAGCCTACCTTGTTGTCAGAATAATCACATTATTTTCATTGCAAATTTTCTCTGCTTTGAATCTCATTCTGATATTGTTCTCAAAATGAAAACATTTCATTTCAGTTCGTTAGAACTCCTGCATATTGCTATGCTATTTCCAAAGGAGACGGAATTTGTTCTAACTTGGGAAGCCCCTTTAGAACCTTTGAAGCCCGCAAATTCATTTTAAAGAAATATCGTGAAGTCGATGGAATCGAATTAACATTCTAATTGTGTTGATCATCTAGTTGTGCCGTTCAAATTACATTACGGTAATTCTGTCAGTAGCTCCGGAGTGAGTTAGCTCCTTCGCTTATGCCTCACTTGGGAGTCACGAGCTTCCTATCACCAACTCCTGAGTGAGTTAGCTCCATCCCTCCTACCCCCACTCGGGAGTCAAGAGCTTTCCCGAACACCCAACCCACTCGAACACAAAAGAAGTGAGCTACCTCCATTAAAATTATTAGAATAGATCATTGTTTGAATTAGGCATCTATGCTCCAGAAATAACTACTATCTATGTTTAGCCCCCGTTTGACCCCTATTTTTGGAAATGAAAATGGGTGGAATGGTATTTTTTGAAAAAATGAGTGGTTGAAAAAAAAAAGGAATTTTTTTTGATTTACGTGTAATTTTATTTTACTAAACATTGTGTGGTTAAAAATAATAGAGAAAAATAAAATGAAACTTAATAAGGGCCAAACGGGGCTGCATTTGCAAGTTGGTGACTTGGTTTCATGGCTTATTAAAATGAAAAAAATCACATTTATTTGGGGATATATAGTATCTAAATGAATGAATTTAATAAATATAATGTTAGAATATAATGTGGATGAATATAATACTTCTTAAAAATTTTAAAATTTTAATAGACGATAAATTTAGAGTGGAATGGATTATGGATATATAAGAATGGTGAATGAATAGAGCAACATTCAAAAGAATTTAAAATTTAATTAATTAATAATAATTATTATAATTCTTAATTATAAATATTATATGATATTCCTTAATAAAAAATATGGGGGTGGAATTACGCTCTACATACCATGCATATTTGACATTTTACATGCTATATTTTGTATACTGGTTACTAATAGCACAATTTTCTGAAAAAATTACAAATCTGACATTATAAATAGGTGAACAAATTAAAATATCATTAAGTGAAACAAAAAATAAAATAAAATCACACCATATACATTACCTCATGTGACGCCTTTGCAGCTATTTTCCAGTTGAGTATTCATTGTAGTTTTATTTTTAATTTTTTTAAATGTGAGTATTAATATAAAATTTTCTATCATTTTTTCTAACTCTAACATAAAATCAATAAAATTAATTTTAGCAAATTAATAAACTATTAAAAATATAGAAAATACTTCAATGGGTTCTTTCAAAATCGTAAAAATTGCTATCCTATAATTAATATTTTTAATGAATAAAAATTAAAAATAATTTCAGACATTATTTCTTATTTTGTAGTCAAAATTAAATTTGTTTATTTTAAGTTGGTTAATTTGCAACTTAATTTTTTTTTAAGAATGCATGTGTAATTTTTACTGGTAGTCACCATGGAAGACATTTTTTATTATGCAAGAAAGCTTTATAGAAGATAGGAATATATAAATACAAGTAATAAAATTATAGAATGGAAATAAAATTGTGTAAATGACATAGTGAGAAAAGTCAAATAAATGTTAATTTATGGAGTGGTAGAAGAATTAGGAAAAAAAAAAAATAATTTTTTAAAGATAAAACTGGAATAGTAATTCAACTTTTAAAGAATAAAAAGTCAGCTGAGAAATCGGTATATAAAACGTAATATAATGTAATACAAAAAGTGTAATATGTTATTTTCGATTATGGGTGTTTTGATCTATTTAACTATTTTAATAGATAATTTGTACAATTTTTCGCAAACATTTTATGTTATGATATTATAGTTTATACTGATAAATACAGTATGCAGAGTTTAAATATCAATAAAGCTCCAAATATAGGAAAATTTTAACAGAATTGATATCAACACCGATGTGGCCAAACCTTATTGGCCTGTATTTTTTTTATTTTTATTTTTTGTTTTCTCATCTTCCAATGGTATCACACCAAGTGTTGTCTGTCAAAATTTTTTGTTAAAAAATTTGTACTAATGGCATGATTGGTGTAAATATGTCCTATACAAGGGTGGATTTTGTAAATTCCCAGAAAATTTTTTAACTTACGAATTGGGCTGAAATACCCAACAAGCTATTGGGCTTTGGCGGCTCTAAGACACGCTACGAAGGCCCCACTTGGTCCAAAATGAATGGGCTCACTGTAAGGCCTACCCATTAATCCACAGAGGCCCAACACAAACACAAAAGAAAAACTATAACGAGACTTTACCAAGAGTTCAACATTTTACTCTAAAGTCATCCGAATTTAATTCGTATCAAATTAATTGGTTTGATTTGGTTTAATTTAAAAATTGTGTCAGTCCGAATCTTCAAAAAAAATAATAATAAATAAATAAATAAAAAATCTAAAAATTTACAAACTTATCAAATTTGAAATTATTTTTTTATAATTATTCAAGACAAAGTCCAACACAACATACTTTTACATGTCTACGAAGCAATCTTGTACTAGGCTTTACACGAGCTAAATTGTCGCAAACCAAGATAGACCAATCCACTTCGACACACCAGGTGATGGGTAAGTATAAAGCCACAAAGAAATAGCATATGCATGTATTTTTGTGTCTACAAATATGTCAACGTTGGTGAAAATTTTAGGGATGTGAGGCACCAAATGGTGGTTGATGGACGTGGCTTCCTCTTGTTTGAATAATTCTTAACTTGTTTAAGCCACATAAGTGGTCATTCGATATATTAATTTTTCACACACACATACACACGCGGCATGTCGTTATTGAACAGTTTAAAAAATAATTTATCTTTTCAACCAACATTTTTTTTTTTGCCACCTACAAAATTTTCAACAATGTCGTAAAAAATTGTACAAATAGATTTATCCTTGAATGATAGTCTCAAAACAATTAACATTTTTTTTTTGAGTCACATTTTTTGTGAAAAATGAATCTTGTAAAGTATTTTTTTGAAGAATCCGGGGTTAAAATGTATGAAAAAATTTAGATTTACGTACGAAATTATTTTATTGACGAATGCACGATTGAAAATGAGTTCACAGAAAATGAGTTTTTGAAAAATGGGCTCAAATAGGGACTTAATTTTACTTGCCATGCTTTCACCATGGGTTTTCGACTACAGTTAAAGGTCATCAAAGTTAACAACAGAAATCAATTGCTGAAGTCATGTTTTTGTGGTGGGTAGAGGCTTTAAAAAAAATACTATTTGTCTAATTAAGTTTGTAACTAACCTTTTATTTGAGAAGTGCTTCTTCTAATATCGTTTAATTATAATGGTTGAGTACCTTTGCTAATTTAACAGTTTTTGCCGTCCATTCGCTAAACCTTAATAGTTTAAAATATTAGCGCACCATTTGTGGTTTAATGGGAATGCTTCAAGGGATCTTGTTTGTTAAAAATGCAGCATTTGTGGGTTTTTTTTTTTTTTTGTGATTTTCGTTTTGTCGAAGAAGATAACCTTTTCTTAATTTCTTTTTTTCCTTTTGTTGGTTTATTTTATTTAACTTTTAATTTTTTTGTGTGAAAAATATGAAGTTATAAATTTGTCCTTTTGTTTGAGATAGGGAAAGAAAATACATTTTTAAAAATTTGAGATGTCGTGACATAAAAAAAAGTTCGAATATAATCTGCAATAAATGAAAATTTTAGAAACTGCAGCTGCAATTATTCTTTTGGTTTTGACCATTTTTAAGTGGATTTAACGCTTAAACTAACGAATTTGGATGAGAATTGGTCTTCCACACTTAAAAAGATCATATAAGGGAGTTGTCCGTCAATCTGAAAGGATAGAGGGTGTTCTACAATAGAGGCAAAAGTAGATGAGTTTTTGCGCCAATTATCCTCATTTATAATATATAATTTTCAATATCATTTAAACAATTTAAATACAACTGAAGGCGCTAGTCTTCCTAACTTTGGAGGACTTGGAAGATCTAAAGTGCCCAACAATATAGACGCTACCATGTAAACGATGGAAGCAAGTAAGTCGGATGAGCACCATATTTTGCAGCAAGTTCAAGATCACGAATACCAGCAAATTCAAGATCACGAATACCAGCAAATCCATGATGCCCATATAAATCACCAGTCAAAAAAATTGAAGAGATCCCTGCAGCATATGCAGCTTTTATATAATCGAGGTGATTTGGTTAACAAGTCATGCGCCGTGTACTTCTATTTTTTAAGGTTTATTAGTCAAGCACTTCTATTTCTTCAAGAACAATTAAAAAAGGAAAAGCAAAAGAAAAGAGAGGCTGTGGAATCTTTTACTGGACTTCTTTTTTAGCGTAAGAATTAGATCTTATGTGGATCCTTAAGTAACTGTTTTTGGTTTCCAACAAGAATAAGGATTACTTTCAATTTTCTAGTGATTTAATGTTCCATAGCTAGAAATAAGGCCAACAATATATGAAGTAGAAGCAACAAATGCCATCAATTGAACAAATGTTCCCTATCATGCAGAGCAATTAATAACGCAAATTAAGAAAACAAGACACTTTAAGGTGATTCACTTTCAATTTCAAATCTATGTCCAAGAAATCTCGTTTTGGAATCATACCATATCAAAGAAGAATTACGATGTGATTTGAACTCACACCTCTCTCTATTTCGCTTTACCATGATATACAAAAAGGAGACATACCTAGTAAATGTGCATATTTCCTAAAGTACTTTTAAAACACTTTCGAAATTTTTGGACTCGGGGACTCTTGCTCCTTGGAACCCCCATCAACCTTACCTTGGTTTGCGGTCAAGAGACAAAATGCAATGTATATTAAACTCTAGACATCCAACAACAAAAAGCCAAATATTTCCATAGGAAATGACTTTATTGCATAAAAGGTGGAGAAACTTTGCATTAAGAATTGGAACGTAATATTGGTAAAAAGAAATCTAAATTTGGCATACCTTTGAAAACATAGCAGCTTCTTGGTCAAACCGTGGACCATCTACCCTGTTTGCGATAAGTGCCATGAAACAATTGTTTCATTTTATAGGTATTATATTTGCTTCAAGCAAAACAATCGTGGTATTATGATATAAAGCAATACGATAGGAATGCGCAAACCAGATATTAATTAACAATAATTAATGGAATAGATGGATATGACAAGCCAAAACATGAATAAACCCAGTTCTTGTTCATTATTAATAAGAAATTCCCAACCACAACTTTTTGGAATTAACTTAATAAAAAAAATAATAATATTAAAAAAAATAAAAAACCTTTATTGATGAATCTTGACAATGCAAGTGCATATGGACCATAACTTTGAGGCTAAAGAAATCAAACCTTTCAATAGTGATGGCTCCCACAAAGAGTGAGGTATCAATCCCCCGTGTCCTCAACTTCTCCATGGTTTCTGATGCCCCCATTAAGGAAATAATCACTATCTTAGTACCACAAGTTGCCAACCTCTGTACTGTCATGCGCAGACATAGAACACGTTATGTGCAAAATTGTAGCTAGCTAATATTGAAACACTTGAGAGTTGCAACCCAACAAATTGAAACAAACAAGTTTAAAAAGAGAAGGGTAACAGATGAAAACATACTTGCCGTTATACCACGTGATACAACATAAATAGAATCTAAAAACCATGCCTGCGAAACATTGAAATATAAAAATTATTCAATAAAAAGCGTTCAACTTACTAGAACGGCTAATGAAGTAACACAGGATGAAACCAAAAGGCCAAAAAAGTAGGATAATGAACAAAATATGTCGTGTACGTAGGTTTGTGTTTTCCTGTATTTGATTTGGTCGTGTTCCATGATTGTATAAATGCCACTATGCTAATTCGAGTCTAGCAGTTTGTTTGGTGCATTTTACCTCATCTAACATTCACGTTTAAACTTCAGGACATTAATAAACGGGGTAACAATGAATGACTATTAAGAAAATATGTCCAGCCCAAACATTAGTTACGCGTTCAGCTGATTGTAGATGCCAGCCCAAGTAAATTAAAACGAACAGTGGTAGAAATTTGAGCAAGTAGAAAAAAATAAATAAATAAATAACTGAAAAAATTATAGTGTAGGGACGTCCGTACCTTGAATTGGCGAGTTCTAGCAAGTTGTTCAATGCCATTTATGGTCTGAAACGTGCAGGGTTTCTCTGTGTTTGAGAAAGAGTGTTACAAGAAGGGTAGGTGGATTTTGAATATGGTATAACTCAACTTATATTGCGAATCAGGCCTGTTTGAGCCCCATTATTTCTTCATTAAAATAAAAAATATGATCGTTATCCATCACATCAAGCCACCATATTTGATTTTTTATCTTTTGTGTAGGATCCATAACGACTATATTTTTCATTTTCATTTTTACAATAATGTGGCTCAAACGAGGGGCTGAATTGTGTGAATCCCTCATAGTTTTGCCTTGAATCCTTGATATTGGATAGTTGATACTACCATGCTGCAACAATAGGGTTAAGTCGAGCATAGAAATTTATAATATTACATTTTTTAAAATTCTATTATGAAAGCTTAACGTCTCGTTATTTTTATTATAGAAAATAAATATAAATTAAAAATAGTAAAATTTTATGCAGTTCTTAACTACACTTTATTTTTAGCTTTTCATTTTACCTTTTATTGTTTTTCCTTTCTTTATTATTTAATATATTTTTGTACAATAATTTAGTTACAAATGGCTAAAATATTCAAATAACCTATAAATAATTCAAGAAGTAAAATATTAAAACTTGCAAATTTAAGGATTAACTGTTTAAATTAAAGAGCATTTTACTTTTCAAAAGTTCCTTGCGTATTCTCTGTCATTTGCTAAAAAATTCACTTGCCATTTTCTGCATCTTGCCAGCAATAAGATTTTTTGCACGTTATAGTTTCTACATATGTTACAAGCACGATTATGAAAACGACACACAATAAAAATGAACAATGGTAACTCATTTAGCCCCTATTTGAGCTCTATTTTAATATTTTTTTGGGGGAATTGTATTTTTGAATTATTATTATTATTATTATTATTTTTTAAGAATGTATGGTCAAGAAAATGAAAAAAATATTGATTTACATATAATATCATTTTATTGGAGAATATATGATTAAAAAGAGTGGAGGAAAAAAAATGCATTAAAATTAAAATGTAAACCAAACAAGGCTCGGCAAGGGAAATCTTACCGATTCCACCCACTCCCACAATTTCAAGTCCAGATCTGGTGGAAATTGATGAGAATTCGTTCTGTACGACATCGGATCTTATTAAGTTCTTCTCCGTGCTCCCGTCTTCATGACCTGCAGATTCTGTACGAAATCGTTTTATGATGCGGGATTCAATGATATCTTCGGCAAAATATGCTGCATACATGATATCTGTCTCCTCATCTTCTGTTATTTTTTGTAAAGAAAAATCCTATTGTAAGGAAGTAACTTTTTCGACAAGTGATTCAATTTGCTGCTTCTCATCAAGAATCAAATATTGATAATCACGATTTAGGGTCTGGCGTAGAATTTGAGCAAGAGAACAAAGAGCACCATAAGCCATCTCTCATACGTGCTCAAAGTATTGAAAGACAGAAGATTGAAGCAAACAGCTTCGTTATAGCAACAAATTAAGGAAGTATTTAGCGAAAGTAAAGAGCTATTTGCAGTTTCTTAATTGAATAAGATGCTTGAAAAACAGAGTTGACTACAGAGTTACAATAAAGTCATTGTCTATGTAATTGACAGACTTCCCACCAAATTAAAAAGTGCGAAGTTCAAAGTCTGAGAACCAAATTATAAATATTCAATAGTTGATTTAGACAATAAGATGATACTTTGAAGGTTGCTAGGAGTTAATTTAATTGGATACAATTAGAAGTAAAAAAGGAACGGAATACGATCAAAATATTATCACAAATCAATTTCTAATCGCACAGGTTATACTCTAAATTTTTAGTCGAAGATTGAGACTCATTTTTGGCATAGTAAATGTCCGAAATTTAATATATTACATTTATAGTAAAATTGTAGCATTTTGACTAAACTTTTCAATGTACTTTGAATTATCTCAATCGAATATCGGGAGAGAAAGTTATGACCAAAATGCTTATTGTTGTATAGATACAAATATGTTCACATGAAGGTAACTTTCCTTATTTGATCAGAACTCTTTTGAAAATCAATTTTGACGTGATTTTCAATCAATTTTCGACTCCTACAAATACCAAATAGCATAATACATTAAAAGACCTCTCATATACATATTATAGACCAATATTCATCAATTATTATCATCAAATGAGGGAAATTCATAGTTTTTGTAAAAGAATAGAAGGGGTTTGCACATATTCAATCAAGTGAAGATTCACACTTAGTTTTTTGACAAATAAGAGAAGCGTAACTGGAGATTCATCAAGAAATCATTGAAGAGATTCAAGATTTTAAGATTAATCTTCATCTTCATCTTCTCAATTTATCAAAAATCCGGGTTATGATTTTCTATTAAATTCATAGTTTTTGTTCTTAATTAGCACATTCTAAATAGCATGCCCATACATATTCTTTCGGTCCTTAAGCTACCCAAAGGTGTCTTCAAGGAGCTTCTTGTATGTTTACCGATTTTCTTTGGACTACATCTGATGGATATTGCCTGTGAAAATGGATTTCTTGGAAGTGGATATGCCTACTTGTAAAGGAGAGTGGTATAGGTATTCGGGCACTTGAGGATGTGCAAAATTCTTTATTTATGAAATTTGATTGGAAACTTAATAACTTGTTGCTCGTGATTCTTTCTATAGTGGAAGCTTGCTCCAAGGGTTGTCAAAATGGTGTTTTACTAGCTCAGTCCAACGTTATCTTTCTCTACCAAACAACCAAACCAACTGGCTCCGATCCACAACCAATAAATTCACCTCAATTGTTTTTCAATCTCACCCACAAAGGACAAGGTAACTATGATAATTTGTAGCCACGAAGGCAAGAAAAAAACCACAAAGGTAGGCAAGGAAAAGACCACAAAGTATACAAAGTAATCAACTAGTTTTAGTACCACAAAGGAGCCAATTTCTTCTCTATAAAGGAGGCCATGTTTTCTTCTTTATTTTTCTCACAAATCACCCTAGAAAATAGCTAGGGTTATAGTTATATAAATAGGATTAGGTTAGGCTTTCAATTGGACCAATAGCAAAGCTAAACGGACCAAGATTCAAGCCATTCAAGATGGAATACAATTGGACCGAGTGGAGCCTTTGGACTTGGTTGTTGGTACTTAATTCATTCATCGGCTTAGGCCTATGAAATATATTATCCCATATTAACATCATAACCCGAGATTTATTGGGTATAAAAAATCAACAAATCTCCACCTTGATACCTAATAGATCTACAAGCAATTAAAACACATGGTCAGTACTTGCATAATCAAGATAACTAATAAAATTGGATCACAGACTTTACCTTATGTTTTCAACCTGAAACACATACCATACTTACTCCGTGCACTCACCAGGGCTAAGGTCAAGAACACCCAAGTAGAAACAAATATTCACAGTAATCAATCGAGAATAATTAATCATGCAATGAAGATATAATATAGAATAACACACATAGATCTTTCCAGAAACACGTTCAAACAAAATCATAGACTAACACTAAGTTAATCAACAGATGGCCAAGACATATGCAACAGATGCATAATGACCTCACGAAAAGATCTGACCACACTTATCCTATCCCATTACGTGTTGCTCACACCTCAAGAACACATATCTCCTCTTATTGCTCACCATGCTCATTAGATTGATCACTTAACTCATGTTTAACTGATAAGTCACAATAGATCCTAAGTTCACGAGATAATCCTCTATTACCACATCACTTTTCCCACCCTATGTGGATAATGAGTCACCACCTAACAGAAGCAATAGAAGTGCCCTTTTCACAGTCCACCCGATCAGGGCCTCTTCACAGATAAAGAATTTTAGACATTTAATCACCTCACCACTAGTGATCCAAATGTCACAATCCACATCCTCGGTACAAACCACAATATACTCCTAGGCATCTATACTCCATCTCATCAAAAGATGTAAACACAGTGCTAATGAATCCTAACCCATTATGCCATGCAAAAACAATCACACCAAGTAATTATATTGCCTCAAATTTATGCAAACACACATATCAAACACATTGAAATGCAGAATATAATCATGCTACAAAATTAGGCAATTACACACATGCAGAAAGGACTACACATAGATGTCCATGCAGTAACTATGTTTACTCTCAATAAACCTTATTAGGTCATACTCGACCCTATAGCCAAATTCGCTCTACTTCTCATCTTACCTTCTTATTGGGGCAGTTCCTAATAAAGTGTCCACACTTACCACAACTATGACAACATTTATCACTATACTTGTCCCGTCCCTTGTCCTTCTTCTTACTACTCTTGTCAATTAAGTCACTACTCGAATCCGTACTGTCTTGAGCTCTACCCAGATTTATTTGCTTAAATTCTGTTCTATTGCTTATCATATGTAACTCGCCACTCTCCTTATTTTCTTTTTCAGCCTTAATCTCCATCTTCTTACTCTTAAAGGAGTCTACGATAATCTAAGGTGTTAAGATGTCTCTAGCATACTTAATTGCATTCTTAACCTCTGTATATAAATCAGACATTAAATTAAGCAAAATAATGGCCTTGTACATTTCATACACATTTTCATCATGGTTAACAATAGCTTGAACTAATTTGTTAAAGACATCCAGATTGTCATTAAGATCCTTTGAATGATCCATTTTAAAACTGAAAAACCTTTCAAGCAAGTATAATTTGTTAGAAGTAGACTTAAGAAAATACAAGTCATTCAACTTTTGCTAAAGTTCTTTCGTAGAATCAAGTTTTTCAACTTTTCCTAGAACAGTATCAAATAAGTGTAAAATAATTGAAGTGTAAGTAAGTTCATCATATTCTTCTTTTTATGCCTCTATTAAATTTGCAAAAAATTTGCCATCTATGGATTTTAAAACTTTTTGTTGAACCAAAATCCCTTCATCTTTTGTTGCCAAATTAAAAAATTTCATTTCCCATTGAAAGCTTCAATTTTGAAATGTGTAGGCATTTTGAAAAATAGAACAACCAAATGCACAAATAGGTCACACAAAGTTATCCTATGGCCATAATATACACCGTTCTAGATTTTCAGGGTTTCGTAAAATTTACGATCTTAGATCAAGGGAATGTTCAAATAGGTCAAGTCCAGGTGTTCTAACATAATAATCAATGTAACACGAAAGTATGCAAACAAAAAATTAAATTCTCAAACAATGTAGTCTCACACAGTGACTATATGACCATTAGAGCACAAAACGCATCACCAACTTGTAATCAAATTCAACACTTTAAATATGGCAAATAACTCCTAAATTTCTAACACAAGCAGTGGTTACCCCTTCACTATAACCCCAATCCTAATGTCAACCCACATGATAACGCGCTAATGTTGAAATTTAAATTGGGATAAGTCAATATACTAGAGTGGACCAATCTGAGTCCATAAATGATGAAAGATGCAAATTTATCAATTTAGGTCCACTATTAGTCCTAAAGCTTCTAGCAACTGTAGCAACTAACCAACAACGATCGAGTCCTGAACGTGCGAAGAAAAATTCTATCCAGATTCCACTGTACAACCTGAAACAGAAAACAAACAACACCAAAAATGTCAGAAATGACATTAAAACAAACTGCCTGAAGACCTCTTCACCTAAATATGTTGCACGCTTCCTCATGCGGCAGACAGATGACAGGATCGCCTCCACCTGTACGTTGCACCAATGGTCTCCATTTCACCAAACTCTTTCTGGATTGGCCAAAAATCATGAAAACATAGGCTAATTTTAAGCAGTTTTCTGGATAGTTTTTCGATCTAATTTTTGCTTCGTTTCTGCTAATTTCCTGGATGTTTTCTGGTAATTTTCACAAGCCAAAACCACCACATTGACGTTCTAATACCAATTGTAGCGAAAGCTTGCCCCAAGAGTCATCAAAACGGTATTTTTCGGGCTCAGTCTAACATTACCTTTCTCTACTAAACAACCAAATCAACCGACTCCGATCCATATTTTCTTCTTTTTTTCCTCACAAATCACCTTAGAAAATGGCTAGGGTTATAGTTATATAAATAGGGTTGGATTAGGCTTTCAATTGGACCAATGACAAAGTTAAATGGGCCAAGATTCAAGCCATCTATTTGATTTTAACTTAAATATTAAAATTTGACCCCAAGTTGAATTTTATTTTATTTAGGAGTTTTATCCTAAATTGAAATGTTAATTTAATTTAAATTAGAGTTTGACTCTAATTTAGTATTTAATTAAAATTTAATTTTAATTAAATAATTCATCCTGATATATTCTTGAAATTAGAATTGGATTCTAATTTGATATTTAATTAAGATTTGATTTTAATTAAATTGTCTTGCCCTAAAATTATTCTTGAAATTAGAGCTAGACTCTAATTTGATATTTAATTAAAATTTGATTTTAATTAAATAAGTTCGCCATAAAATCTTCGACCATGTAAATATATTGAATGGTTGATTTAATTCTTGTCCTTTTATAGGCATACGAGCTCTTAACAGTTTTAAACCCGTGAATTTGATATTATTATTATTATTATTATTATTATTATTATTATTATTATTATGGTCTTGCGAGCTCCTG